CTATGCCATGGTGTGTCAAAAGTGGAAATAGCCGGTGCGCCGTCTGGCAACCCGGCAGCCCGCCACCATAGGGAAATTCATGCTTTTTGTCGCTTTTTCGCTCCCTATGAGTCGCTTGATCTGATTTAGAGCTTAACTAGGAACGAGGCGGGTCACTTGGACGTATTCGGGAGCCGAATACGGTGTTTTGGAGCCAATACCTGGGAAACCCTACCCGCCCAATGCGAGTTTTTAACCCTCGCCGGCCGAGGGGGGGGGCGGGTGCCGCCCCCCCCATAGGGTTTTTTCGCGATAGCTCCGAACACGCTGGCGATAGAGAGCTGAAACTTGGCATACCTGACCTTTGATCCAAGCCGCATCTTTTGACACCAACCGCATTTTTGGGTCAGGTCAGGTCACTGACCTATGACGTCATAAGTGAACCTCTGCACGGTCGCAACTTGTCGCAACTTCGCAACGCCCTCACTGCCAGAGGAGATGTCACAGGGAAATGAAACTTGCAGGATCTAGTATCCATTATGAGTCTCACAACTTGTATATCTCGGATTTTTCCTAAAGGTCATATGAGGTCAGGTCATTTTCGTGACCTCACCATTATAAGTCAATGGGGAAAAATTCAAACTGCTATTCTGGCGCCGGAAACGATCTCCAACTATCTCAAGCACATAGAATCGTGATTTGATGCACTCTTTGCAAGGTTAGATGCGTCACTTTTGCAATGTTGACCTTCCGTGACGTCATTTATGACGTCATCAAGGTCATATTAGTTTTTCGTCAATAACTCCCGATCAAATTGAGCTAGCGAGTCGGGAAAGCCACCAATGGACTCAGGAAGACCTGCCGAATCGAATGATATGCGACATGACCTCTTTCGACCAACTTCGTGACCTGGGGGTGCTGACCTGACCTTGACCTGAGGTCAACACCCTAAGTTGACCTGACCCGAACAAAAAGTATATCATTCGACGCGCCTGAGCAAGGCGAACACGATGCTGCCAAAATCGCGGCTCTTCGGCCGTTTTTTGCGAAGTTATTCACCAAAAACTGAACCGTACCCTGGGGCACTTGACCTGACCTCAGAGGTCACCGGTTGACCTAGGACCTTAAAATCGGGTACCAATCTCTGCGTCTCGTAACGGCGCACACGCTCGTTTTTTCCGCGACGCGCTAGCTCCACCAGGGGCGAAACGGCGAGGGGGGGTCGTACCCGCCCCCCCCCTCGGCCGGCGCGTATGTAGAAAACCAATAGGTCCGGCGAGGGTTAAGAGTCTGTATGCCCAAATTAACGTTGAGCGCGGCCGTTTTCGGTCGGTTTTCCCCGACCTTGTGGCAAAATCGCCTTATTTATTCAACCAGGGTGGGCTAATTCGCTTAACTAGGAATGAGGCGTTGAAGAGAATTATTCAAGGAATAGAGCTGTGCAAAAATATTTTTTGTATTGTTAAAACTGTATCCGCCCTCGAACGATAAATATTGTTGACCCATCAGAAACACATCACCTGGAATGCGTTTGGACTTGGCTGGATCTAATATTAGCGAGTATCTGCTAATGCAGTTTCTTGGCTTACATAGTACGCACACAAGCATACATACTTCCTGCCCTTGGTTATTCCTCACTTGAATGAAAATTTTGCTATAATAACTATTCCAAGCAGTTAACAGGTTTTAGTGCAGTGCCAATTCGGAACCGTTCAGCGCCGCCAGTCTCCAAGGCGGCGCGTAACGGCTGCCGCCGGCCGCCGCGCCGCCGCTCTGGCAGGGTGTTTGACTTCATATCTCTGTTGCTAGAAAAGTTGTGGACCGATTTACTTGATTCTTGCATGACAAGATCCGCCATTCAATCCTTAGCAGATAACGAAAATTTGACGTCAGTTGCACGATCCGCTGCCCATATTGTGGTACTGCAATCTATTGACAAGGCTGGCGAACTAAAGCCGGGCGGCTATTTCCACTTTTGTCACACCATGGCATTATGATGGTGTTTAAGTGTCTACCAAAGGCTAGAAGGAAACTGATTCGTTCACGCAATTTACATGCCCATTTATGTCACTTATACTAAGGAGGTGCATCTTCCCAATGCCAGGGGGCGTCTTTCCCACCCTCTGGGATAAGATGCCCACTTGCACTAGGTACTTCAAGAAAGTGATTAATAGCAAAAAAAAAGTTATCATATTTCAAGCACGAAGTGTGGCATTTTGTGGAGAAAATGATGTCGGCTTCCGTTGTAACTCCAAGTTGTTGCTTTTCGGACGCCATTTTCGAATAATATATATGGCATTACAAACCCCTGGGCATCTTTCCCCACCTTCCCCTACATAACTCTGGCGATGGCATTTAGCACTGCCGTTACCTCCCCTGCCGCCGGATCCTAAGAGAGGTGCGGCTCGCTAACCGTCCTGCCATTGCCAGGGTCATGGCTGACCGTGATTACTTTAACCCTCGCCCGCACATGGGGGGGGGGGGGGGTTGCCACCCCCCCCCCCCAGGTAGTCTTTCTGCTCTGCACTCAACATTTTTAGAGCTAGAAGGCTGTTTTTCGTATAGCTGCTCCTCTATCCTTTCTTGATGTCCACTGAAAATTTCAAGTTTCTGTGATTTTTGGTTTCGGAGATATGACCTTGTTTTTCAGGTCATGTCATGACCCAAATGGCCAATTCTCAACATCTTGCGTTTGCCATGGGCCTTGTGAGCTTTTGACACCCTGATTTCGGCCTTTTTTGCCAGTCTTACCTCCCACCTATCATGGAACATGTTGTTCGACGATGTACAGGGGTCAAGGTCAGGGTCAAGGTCAACCTAGGTCATCTAAGATAATTGCGTTTTAGGCAAGCTGAATTTACTTTTTGTGAAGTTTTTTGACTGCATTTTTGGTAAAAGCTTCTCAGATCATGACTTCATGTAATATGGACCCAAAAAACAATCGGTGCACACATCAGTATACACACAGACACACACAGACATACAAACACATATAATTGACCTTGACCTAGCATGACCTGAAATGACCTCAGCAGCAAAATTCTGGTCGGGTAGTGTGACAAAGAGGTTCTAGCTGGCTTGGCACCAGAAAACAGCATCGTCATCGGTATTTGATAAGCAGCGCACTTGATATCCAACGGTGACCCAAAACAGCAACATTTTTTAGATTGACCTGACCTGGAAGGTCAATGACTGACCTGAGAAGGTAAAACTGGGTATCATTGGATTCGTCTCTTCCCAAAGAATCTTTTTGGTCTTTACCGCTAAGCTCTATCTCCAACAGGAACGAAATGGCGCGGGGGGGGGGGGTGGCAACCACCCCCCCATGTGCGTTCTAGGATGGGAAAATGGCATGTGCGGGCGAGGGTTAACCCTCGCACGACCAGGCCATTTCTCATAACACGAACGACCAGGGGGGGGGGGGGTTGTTACGACCCCCCCCCCTGGCGTTTCGAAACGGAAGGTCGTAGAGCTTAGCGGAAAAAACCAACGGATTGCTCTCAACGAGATCTCGCGATTGGTGGTATATTTTTTGGTCCTAGGTCAACATTTGACCTACTTATGACCGGTCAAAGGTCAAATTTCCCGAAAAAATCAAACTTTTTCAACTTTCCGCGGCGATTGCGGCAAAACGGTGGGAGATATCGACTTGAAACCTTCACTATCGTGTTCCTTGATCAATTCTCTATCGTTTGGTATGTATTTCGTTTCCCTAGCTCTAAAAATGGCGCGTTGGGAGCGCCGGAAGTCGGCAAGGTCACAGTCGGCGGCAGAAATTCGAAAAATCAAAATTTAAATTTTTGAAATCTGATTGTATTTTTGGAGTTGGGAGGTCCATTTGCTCCCTATAGAAGCTAATATTGCTGCATATTCCCATTGAGGTGACAAGAATTAGCAAAATAGTGGTTCGGGCGCTTTTCAAAAATAGTACCGGACGCTGTTCCTCTTGTGACGTCATAGCTCCGTGACCTGACCTGACCCGGTCAATTTTCTTGCACCACACGATAGCCAATGCTTGCCCCAACATGCATGGGAAGTTTCATCATGATCCATCAAACAATGTGGGTATCACCGGCAGAAAACCTAGGGATTCGGCGCACACGTTTGGTAACTGTCGGCCGGAGGCTGTACCTCTTATGACGGCATAACTCCGTGACCTGACATGACCCGATCAATTTTTTTTTTCGGCAAAAGATGCGCAAAGGTTGCCCCAGAGGGTATTGAAAATTTCAGCCCGCTACGACAAGCCGTTTAGCGTGCACTTCGAAAAAACCTCAGGGGGGGGGGTTGATACAACCCCCCCCCCCTAGGCGTTCTAGGGTTAATTGGCTAGTAACGGAGACAGCCAACAGCACTGGCGCCGTATCTTACAAGATGAACACACCTGTGTGGGTACGGGTGCAGATGGCCAGCGTGACTGAAAATGTGGAGAAATGAGATACTTCTCACGAAATAGAGATTGTATCAGCAATTAGTATACCAAGCGTGACAAACTACTTCACAGCTCCATGTGTATGATTTTTTACATACCTACTCTAGCACTATCGCACATGTTAGGATGGTACCTAATCGGCTGACGGCTCCCATTAGGTGTTTGTCGAATTCCGCACGGACACGATGCGCGGAATGTCTTCACAGTCCGCAGAGGCAGAAACCAGTGTTAGCAGCACACAGAGGTGACATGCGATTAGCAGAGGCGGAGGGCATTGGCCCGGAGCGGATAGGACGGCGGCCGGCCGGTCGCTCGTCGACCCAAGTGTCAAAACGTTAATTTCGGAAGACGTACCGTTAGTTTGCGAGTTGCTGGTTCGCCGGTAGTGCCACTTAGCTAGTGAGCTGTCATGTCTAAAAATAGAACAATCCTAAGCTGATTCGCCATATTATAAATGGTGCAGTGTAAGTGGACTCTGCAAACAATGTCCGATGTCTAACCGTACAACTATATCTACAGTAAATCGGAGTATCACTGCTTTTTCTTCAAATCACCTGTGTCTCCTGTGAAGGTCAACCATGTTACACAGCGCTGCAGATGTGATCGGAACCGCAGAGCAGGAGATGACGACCACGGATATAAAGTCGGCCGGGGCGCAGCCGAGTGGCATTCTCAGCTCAGTACCAACATCGAACGGTGAGCGCTACCAATGCCTACTGCAGTAAACGGCTCTCCGATCGTTACGTTAACTTAATATTACTATGATTTTGCTTATTAATTTACTTAATTGTGCGGAAACGGGAACAGTTTTTGGGATTCCTACTTAAAGATTTTTCCCGCAAGAAATATATGTCTTTGTTTTGCAGTGATAAAAGTACATAACGTATGTCACAGTTTTCATTTTTATTCTATGTCACCTGGTCGAGGACCCGTGCGATGTTCAACGCATTCATGTTGCATTTTGCATTCATTTGCATTGCATTATCATTTTCCATCATGAATACTGCATTAAGCGATAATTATTGCCTCCGCAAAAAAAAACGGAAGATTACTGCTGTTCCATTTATTTAACTGTTAACTGCAAACGTTGTGATTCAATCAGTCGCAGTTCACCTGTCCATTTTAAGCGAGCTGACCCTCCATTTCAGATTTGCTGTTGTTGTTGTTGTTGTTGCTGCTGCTGTGTTGTTGTTGTTGTTGTTGTTGTTGTTGCTGCTGCTGTTAGTGTTTTTTTTCGAGGGGAGAGGGGGTCGGGTCTTTTGGCCTAGCAAGACCACTTCAGAGCCGGAAGGTTGATAAGAATTAGGAAGAGACATTGATCTGTGCGGGCATCCTAATGAGTCGTCGAGGCCGAGCCCATCCAGTTAACAGGCCACTCAGCCCCCCCCCCCCAAGCGCTCACCGGACCCGGCTCAGGCTACGGGGGTGCGCTCCACGGGGAGTTATCCGCATGGGATAAAGTTGCCCGTCCAGCACGGAAGGGAGGGATTTGACTGTCCTGAGCTGATGGAAACGACCAAATGGTGTGTCCATTTCAGATGCGGCGCCCGGTTCTTCTCTTCGCGGTAATCGCTCTGGCCAACGCCAACAGCGTCAATGAGCCCCCTCCGAAGCACTACGGGGCGCCGAAGTACCCCTACCGCCGCCCGCTGGGCGCTGACGGCGCGGTCGGCGCGGCCGCGGACACCCTGCTCACTCCCAGCCTCACCAGCGTCAACGTGAACCCGCTGATCGGCGCCAGCGGCCTGCCGCTGGACCCCTCCAGCACCGACATCAGCGAGCAGGGCAGCTTCCTCGTCGAGGACAGCCTGGCGCCGGCCGATGGCGGCCTCCCGCTCGGACTGCGCAGCGACTCTCGCCTGAACGGCTTCGACCTCCGCACCGACGGCGGCCCCATCACCCCTGACTCGGTGACCATCGACGAGGGTGCGCTGCGTGAGCTGGCCGCCGGCGACCCCGGCCTGCTGGACGCGCCGCTGGCCAGCTCTCTGGCCGGCAATGACCTCGAGGACGGCTCCGAACTGGTGACCGAAGGTTAGTTGCAGGCTGCAACTGTACCGCTTAGTGTTACCTGGGCATGTATTAATATTGCATAAATACATAGACCACTATATACCGTATATAGTGGTATGTAGTGGTCTATGATAAATATCAATCCATCATTAGCCATTATGATAATTTACTTGCTTAAAAATTCCCATTTTTAGCTCTCATGAGCTAAAAATGGGATCAGAGGCGTCCAATTGTTGAACGAGACGCATAGTTTTGTGCGACGTGTTTACCCTTACAAGTGCACAGCGCTCAGTGTCCACTGCCGGAGCAGGTCGTGTCCCCTGACGCGGTGCGGCGGCGCGTCGGCAGGTGGTCGGCGGCGGCGGCGCTACCGCTGGTTCATTTCGTTCCTGGAGCCGTCCACACGCGGCCGGCGGTACACGTGGCGCCAGGCGGCCTACCAGTGCGCCCGCCGCGGACTGGTGCTCGTCTCCATCGAGAACTTCCGCAAAGACCGGGCCGTCAACAGCGTGCTCGACAGACTCGGTGAGTCAGACGGTGGAACAGCGCCAAGTGGCGAGAAACTGACACCGCTCACACTGTGATGCTGCATGCTGCGGTTATGTTGACCGTGTATCTAACTGTAGAGTACAATAATTGACACTGATTCTCCGCGTTGGCAGACAGCGGCCGTCTGCTGCCGATCGTATGGACGTCGGGTACGCGGCGCGGACGACGGTTCCAGTGGCGCACGGGGCAGACGATCGGCACGCCGGGCAGCTACACCAATTGGGGCACCAGCGGCCCGCTCGGCCGCCGGCAGCCCGATAACGCGTTCGGCAACGAGTTCTGCCTGGCGGCGCTCAAGTCGCCCACCCGGCGCCGCTCCGTCTGGCACGACGTGGCCTGCAACAACATCGCAGAGTTCATCTGCGAGCGGCCCTACCGCCGCAACAGGGTCGCTGTTTTTGATGGGTTATTCGGCGACAACGACGACAGGAAATGATATTCGGCGAGGAATATCTACCATGCGTCCCAATAAAAAGTTTACTCGGCTAAATGCCAATAACTTCTGTACTGGTCATCTGACAAACTCGAGTGACACACCATTCAACTCCATGTGACATGGCACAACTAATGACACCAAATATGTTCCCACCTGCAGGCGACTCTCCTTAGAGGAGGTGCTCGAAATAACAGCCCGTGCGCCACATCGGCGTGGAAAGATGCACGGTATCCTGGTGCTTTGTCATTGCTTGTGAAATCTGCTTAATTTCAGTCCTGAATTCGCAGTTCTTCAGTGCTGCGTGATTTTTGTACGGTTGAGGGTCATTATCCTGACACATGTGAGCGGTAGCAGGCGGGACATGACCCCTTGAAGACCCGATTATCAGTCCACTGCACCAATGGCAGCGTATGGAAACAAATGAGCGGGTGACCCTCAATTTGAGCGGTTACCCTTCACCCATTCAGCCCAACTTAACAAAGTATGATAGACGTAGTTCTTTTTTAATTTCTTACGTGAAGGAATATCATGGACTAAGGCCCTGAGGCGGAGAGCAGGGCGTCTAGTCGACATTTGATTTTGAAGCTGACCAGCCTCCCATGAGGAGACATCATTGGCAACATTTTTTAGTGCTGTGTGACTCATTTCAGCCATGCAGGAATCATTTTGGTCATTTATTCTTGCTACAAGTGCTTTTCAAATGTGAACAATAGGTATCGTTTTTAGTCCGATGATGATCGAGTCCCGTTTGAACCACAAACTGTGAGAAGCGTCTGTGAGATGTGTCCAAATTAGATGTCTTTATGCAAAACGTTTTCCCAAAGATGTTTTATATCATGAATGATCGTTGTTATGTTTTTCGTGTTTGCCATGTTTTTTACTACAAACATGCCAACTTTTATACGAATCAGATTAAAAATCAACAATTGCGAAGGAATTGTCTGGGTAAACTTTTTTTTGGGACACCCGGTATGTAGTGAACGCTGGGCCCAGAGAAACTTGGACCTGATTCCAAGAGCAAATAAAAAGAACACTTTAATGCAAATACGGCAAAAGTGCATGAAACGTGCATCACATGGTTACTAAAGAACATGAAGGTGGTGACCTCAGGTGCAATGTTGTGAATCATTCTTCTTATTTCTTTATATGTACACAATCACAGCCATCACCGCCTCCACCTGCACATATTCATCATTATTCAAGGCCAAATCAGTTGTCCTTCATTCGTAACCGAAGGTTTGTTGTCAATAGTTTAAACACTATTCTTTAGAATTGTGTTTTTCTATTGAAAAACAAATCTGAGTTCCCTGACAATTTGGCAAAAGCTGCCTGAGATCAGTACTACGCACGTAAATTCAGCCTGACTCATACCTAACTATGAAACAGTGAACCTCCTCCGCTTACATACCTATTTAGTTGCTTATTACTCTGAGCAGTGGCTATTACTCACTACTGAGTAATATATGTCACGTCGACCAGAAACAAACGGTAGGTCGGTTGAGCGCTACACACACCAATTAACCCGAGGGGGGAGGCAGAATCTGCCCCCTCCCGTTTTTCGCCAATATTTATAAACGTGTTACGCCAGCGACGTCAAACTTTCAGTACCTTATGATACATCACTTTAACAAGTTCTCTGAAAATTTGAGCGAAATCAGTCGGAATTTTTTTGAGAAAATGACGTTTAAGTGACGTCATGGCACGCCATTTTCGCCTCAAAAACTGCAAAACTTGAAACGCCGCTAACATCTTTATTTAACATCTTATATTAAGGAATGAAGACTTAACAAAAAGAGTACACGTGATTCTACTTTGTCCATCAAATGGCTACCTCGGGTTTTTGAAAATTTTCGATTTTGCCCCAAAACTTAAAAAACTGACTTTTGGGAAATTAACCCTAGAACGCCTAGGGGGGGGGGGTTGTATCAACCCCCCCCTGAGGTTTTTTCGAAGTGCACGCTAAACGGCTTGTCGTAGCGGGCTGAAATTTTCAATACCCTCTGGGGCAACCTTTGCGCATCTTTTGCCGAAAAAAAATTGATCGGGTCATGTCAGGTCACGGAGTTATGACGTCATAAGAGGTACAGCCTCCGGCCGACAGTTACCAAACGTGTGCGCCGAATCCCTAGGTTTTCTGCCGGTGGTACCCACATTGTTTGATGGATCATGATGAAACTTCCCATGCATGTTGGGGCAAGCATTGGCTATCGTGTGGTGCAAGAAAATTGACCGGGTCAGGTCAGGTCACGGAGTTATGACGTCATAAGAGGAACAGCGTCCGGTACTATTTTTGAAAAGCGCCCGAACCACTATTTTGCTAATTCTTGTCACCTCAATGGGAATATGCAGCAATATTAGCTTCTATAGGGAGCAAATGGACCTCCCAAATCCGAAAATACAATCAGATTTCAAAAATTTAAATTTTGATTTTTCGAATTTCTGCCGCCGACTGTGACCTTGCCGACTTCCGGCGCTCCCAACGCGCCATTTTTAGAGCTAGGGAAACGAAATACATACCAAACGATAGAGAATTGATCAAGGAACACGATAGTGAAGGTTTCAAGTCGATATCTCTCACCGTTTTGCCGCAATCGCCGCGGAAAGTTGAAAAAAGTCTATTTTTCCGAAAATTTGACCTTTGACCGGTCAAAAGTAGGTCAAATGTTGACCTAGGACCAAAAAATATACCACCAATCGCGAGATCTCGTTGAGAACAATCCGTTGGTTTTTTCCGCTAAGCTCTACGACCTTCCGTTTCGAAACGCCAGGGGGGGGGGGTCGTAACAACCCCCCCCCCCCTGGTCGTTCGTGTTATGAGAAATGGCCTGGTCGTGCGAGGGTTAAATATAAAATCCAAAATTTTGAGTTTATCGAAAAAACGGAATATATGTTAGAGAAGTGGTCCATGTGCACCTACATACCAATTTTTAGAAGAATTGGTTCAAAAATGTGGGAGTTATTCAAACTTTTATGACGTCATGACACACAAATTTGTCAATTTTTTTGAGAACTTCTAGACCTCATACGGAAACAAAAATAACGCCATTCGATTCGCCGTGAAAAACTGCATCAGATAGACACCTTTTTAGGTCTTAACAATGACTTCAAAATTTGACCTCACTTGACCTGACCTTGACCTGGCCTCGACCTGAATTCATCCAGATGTGGTCCATATCACTAATTATGTGTACCCATTGAATTCTATGAATAAAGTAACCCATAAAACGTGTGTCGCACATGCCCTCTTCTATAGTTCGTATTTGGTGACCTGACCTGACCTTGACCTTGACCTTTGCATGCCATTGTATGCAACGAATCTTGTATTGGTAGCCTAAGAACACGTTTTGGGCAATCAGTCTCAGTCCATTCTTCGGCAACTACGGTGCAAGGCCGATACTGTAGAAACTTGCATTTTGTACCCTTGACCTGACCCTGACCTGACCTCTGACCTACTTAAGCAAAAAAAAATCGGTTCTTAAGATCCGCCTTGTTGAGAGCTTCCGAGTGCCGTTTTCCCCGTCTTTCTACGACCGACTCGGAAGTTAGACAGCGGGGCAGAATCCCCCCCCCCCCCCCCCCCAGCAGGGCGCGTATGGCTGAATAGCCCAGCGAGCGGGGCGCGGGTTAATACTAGTAGTACGCATTTATCTCGTGTATTTGCGTTTGCTACGAATAAAAAAGAAATACGTAACTGGTACAATATAATCGGTACCCTCATCTTATTCATGTCATCATGCATATGTTCGTTTTTGTTCCGTTTCCGGCGCCGGCGCTCAGCATAAACATGCTATGCTCAACAAAACGTTGTAAGGGTTCTGATAGCAAACAATAAGCATACAGGCCTCACCAGGGTGACATTACGCTGTCGGTGCCCGCCCGGGTCCACCCCCGCTGATGGTGTGCTCCTGCCTCACGCCACGCGGTCATTAGACTGTGTGCCGGCCGGTGACCGGCCGCTGACCGGCGCGGTATATCAGTGGGGGAAACTGTGGTCAAATCTTCCATTTTTGGAAGCCTTTCATTTTTGGAAGGACCTTCCATAAATGGGTATGCATTTTCCAAAAATGAAAGGCTTCCAAAATTGGAAGGCCTAATCTCAGTGTTCCCAACTGTGATTCCCATCCTTTGATTTGAGTTACGGCCTTTTTAAATGTGTAACATTAATAGTTGATTTTGCCATTTATGATCATTGATATAAGGAGAAGCAGCAGTGCTAGTGTTGGTAATACAGGCATGCTATATGTCAATGTACATAGTGATATAATAGCATGGTGTCCTGGTGCACTGCTCTCTTTTTCTACTTCTAGAGGACACATGGAAATTCAGAAGAGAAAACAGCTGGTCAATAACCAACCAGGAGGAACACAGCTATAGTCCTGACAAAAATGGTTTAAATTTAACTTACTATCCCTCATATAAATTGAAGATTCATGCTCGTTCCATAGAAAGTAGCACGAAAAACGGCGCACCAACGCCTATTTAATTCGTCCCATACGAGTATTCCGGGAAAACATTGAAAAATGACGAGACCTCCACCCAGATGTTTGGCAAAAGCATTAAAAATTTGAAATCAACCACGCAATATGCTAATAGATGCAGAAAACAGCAACAAATACATGTTTTACTCGCCACTACCCTCCGGGGACCCCCGCACTCCGTCCCGACAATTCCGCACTGTAAACAAAGTCGGCGGTATCAAACAAGCATGGCCCATTACTAAAGTACTTTTAAGGATATTTACTTTTCGTTTTTGATGCTTTTTGCTTACAAAATGTTTGATAATGTCTTATAAAACCATCGTTTGTCGGTAAATTTTTGTCAATTTTCCACGACTCATTACTTTAAAAAATTACATAAATTACATCCACACTAGGATTTAGACATCCACGGTAGATTATGTACACTTCACTATGGCGAATTGAAAGCGACCAGGGGCGATATATATGCTTGGTTATGACCATAACATTAACCCTCGCCCGCACATGCCATTTTCCCATCCTAGAACGCACATGGGGGGGGGTTGCCACCCCCCCGCGCCATTTCGTTCCTGTAGGAGATGAGCTTAGGGGTAAAGACCAAAAAGATTCTTTGGAAAGAGACAAATCCAATGATACCCAGTTTTACCTTCGCAGGTCAGTCATTGACCTTCCAGGTCAGGTCAAACTAAAAAATGTTGCTGTTTTGGGTCACCGTTGGATATCGAGT